CTCTAACATCAGTTTGCAGAGGGCAACAAACTCCCAATTGGCGACAAATTTATTGGATAATTCGAAATAATTTAAAGATAGTTTTGATTAATATGAAAAAATGTCTAATTACACTTTAAAACTATTTTACAAGAATATGCCGGCAGAGCGACTACAACTTAGAAAAACAAACGTAGCATAAGGGTGTTGAAGTAAATGAATAAAAAACCAGAGTACTTTGTCTGGATCACGTGAGAAGTTCTTCCCAATCCAGAACAGTTTTAATTAACTAGCACGGTCTCGTTTAAAGTCAACTACTTAACTATTTTTATAGCATATATGTTTGAACGGTGGTGTAGGTCAGAACACTTGGAGCCAATATGCTTCTAACTAGATAATATCAACTAACAATAGGTGTGGGTGGGAAGCCTTATTGAATGTGTACATTTATTTATTTACATAGAAAGACTATTATATAAATGTATCTCCAATTGTGTTTTAAGTGGAAATTATACTAATTATAAGGAATCTTTTGCGCAGAAGACCCAAATAATCAATAAGTAGAACACTTAATTCTAGAATCTAATTAATATTCATATTACTTACGCTAAAAAAAGCTAATGTGAACAAAAAGACCAGAACGTGCTGCACTTTTCACCTCCCCTATCCCAAAACAACCATAAATTCTTACCATAGTTAAGTCATTTATGTTTCATAAAAAACGCTAAATAAAGTCAATTTTTTTTTCATTAATTATATATGCAATCATAACAAAAACGCTAAACATCATTGAAACATCTTAATGAAGTTGATGTGTTGCGCATACGTCATGTTGACCTCATTACAAATCGTCGCTGTTAACATAACGCAAATAACACAATACAATGATACAACAAATCCACAATGCCAACAACAACAATAGTAGTGCTGACAACAACAAAAGCAGCAATAAGTGTTATAACACACTTGAGCAAAAGATTAAGCCAACAACGTTAAAACCGCAACATTTTACCATTTCCGCTCTTTTTTTGTTCGTTGCCATTTGTGCGCTCTTAGGAAACAAATTACAATGGAATAAAAACCAGCAACAACAACAACAACAACAACGAAAATATTGCAAGATTACACGCACAACTGACAAATACCACACAGCACTATACAGCACAGCACAGCGTGAGGCAAAGTGGTGAGTGTAGACTCTTTCTTTTTAACAGCACAGCATAAAAAGCTTCATTTGCCTTGCCAACTGCGCTGCGTTGTGTTTTTCTCTTACTTTCTCACCTTTCGTTATTCATTGTTTTTCAGTTTTAACAGTTTTTTTGTTTTGATTTTGTTTTGTTTGTGTAAATTTTTATTGCGACTTTTGCCGAATTCAAGCTCAAGTTCACAGAGTAGCCAACCAGTTTAGCCAGCCAGCGACGACAGCGGCTACTGCTCCAAGCCAAAACGTAACGTAACGTAATCGTAAACGATTGCTTAAACCAACACAACAACAACAACAATAAAAAGAAAAAGAAAAAGAAAACTACTGCACAGCAATATTTGGCTTTGCTTCTTACATTCAAGTTAGTTCACATGTACATTTTTTTGTCTTTTACATCGTTTGGCACTGTTGATGTTGTTGTTGTTGTCGCTGTAACGCAACTTCAGAATAATTTTATTTGCTGACTTTTCATTTGTATTATGTTTTTTTGGTTGTGTTTTGTTTTTATTTGTGCAGTTGTTTTTGTATTTGCTTTGTTATTGTCGGTGTTATAAACACCTTTTTTCATTTTTAATGATTGACTGCATAATTTGTTTTTGTCATAATTACGTTCGCTAGTTATTGTTGCTGCTGCTGCTGTTGTTGTTGTTGTTAAAGTAGTTTTTATTGACGCTGCTGCTGCTTGTGTTACATTTGTTCACTGCGCGCTATAACGAAGCGACGCTGTTAACAAATCAAATTATATCACATTTATGACGCATCAACCGGAAAAAGTGTTTAATGCGCGTTAAAATGTTGCTAAAATGAGTGATTATTCGCTGTTATGCTTGACGTGCGTGAGCGTATGACGACAGGCATGGTTCCTATATTTCTGTGAATATGAGCGTTTTTAAGGAACGGAGGAATATGGGAAAATCTTTATGAAAAATATCGAACTAATGATGAAATACAATATATTCGAAAAATTCAATTTTCTATTGTGGAAAGGAAATTGATTGAATGAGTCAATATTAGGTATGAGTGTTATTTTCTACAATCTTGCGAATATATTTCAGGAAAAAATTTAAAAAAATGTGAATTCAAAAAACATGTTCAATCAGTATTTAAGAAAAGCAAATTTTTTTTTATTCTGTTAAAGTCAAACAGCGCAAAATACCTGGGTATACACTTAGATAGACCCCCGATAGATGCAAAACACGGATTTTTAACAAAAGAAAATCCCTTGAGATACAATACCGAAAAATGTTTTGGCTACTGCATAAAAAATCTTTAGTGTTCCTAAAAAATAAACTTATTTTATAGAAAAGTATGCTAAAACCAGTATGGACCTATGGCATTCAACTATAGGGAACAGAAATTCTTCAAAGATTGCAGTCCAAAACTCTACGAGGAATGGTAAACGCTCCATGGTATGTAAGTAACATTCAAATCCATTAGGATCTTAGGATAATCCCGGTAAAAGACGAAGTAAAAAAGGTAGCTAGAAAATATCATGAACGAAACTAAATTTATCCCAACAGTCTTGCTTCGAATTTGATTTCCCTCTCTAGAATTTTTACGAGACTGAAAAGGAATATGTTAAGTCGCCGGTTCAGATATTATAATCATATCTTAATTTAAAAAGAAAAGAGTAGCTCTCCACAGGGAGAACTACCAAGATTGTAAAT